CTCTCCTTTCTTTTTTTTTTTTTTTTTTTTTTTTTTTTTTTTTTTTTTTTGGTTTTTCGAGACAGGGTTTCTCTGTGGCTTTGGAGCCTGTCCTGGAACTAGCCCTGTAGACCAGGCTGGTCTCGAATTCACAGAGATCTGCCTGCCTCTGCCTCCCGAGTGCAGGGATTAAAGGCGTGCGCCACCGCCACCTGGTGCCTCCCCTTCATTGTATAGGATTTGAGGTACAATATGAACTAATTCTCAGTGGAATGTACTAGGGAATGCCAGGGTGTTAAGCCAAAGGTACAGGCAAACCAAGCTGATGTGGGGGCAGCCGAGAGGGCGTTCTCTTTGATCTTGCAAGGACATAGGTGTATACCAAGGAGTAGGGTGATATTGCCAGGGTCGAAAACAGGTTTCTGGATTTTCAGCCTGTTAAGGACCAGGGACAATGAACTCTGTTCTGTAAATACTTCCAGTTGAAACTGGGGTGTTGGTCGTCAGGGTCCAGGAATGCTGAAAGGGTAAGCAAAGGCTGGGCAACAGGGCATTTATCAGGCGCATCTGATCAGTTGATCTAGGTAAAGGGACAGGGAGCAACCACATCGGCTGGAATGGCTCACATCAGCTTACAGCAAGTCCAGAGCTCAGCAGTTTACAGTCTGCATGTGCTCCCTGGGCGGTGTCTATTAAACCTGCGGAGACAAATAGAGACAAAGAACAAATGTTAAAGTTTATTAACTTAAAAGAAAATGTTGTATTGGAACTCTTGCTTATCTGGAGTTTGTTTGACCTGTGACAGGTGAATTTGAGCCTTATGACTTTTTTGACTCCCTGAAACTCACATGAGTTTTTAGTTTACCAAAGGAATATATATATATATGTATTTTCATTGTACTGAAATCCACATTGTATAAAAAGAAGTAAGCAGGTGTCTGTAAAACAGCTGGAACAGATTTACACCTTGGAAATATAGCAAAAGCTATGGCTTTGGGTTACCCTGATGAAAAGCACCTTTAAGTCTATACTTAAAAGACAACCAAAGGAAGTTAAAATCTTGACTTGTGACTGAACAAGTAGCCGGTGTTCTCTAGTTTAGCAGAACTCCCTTTATCAATGTCAAAACTTTAAACTCTTGAAATCTCAGTGTAACAATATTCCGTTACAGCTTGTATTATATAGAATTGCCAGGATATAGTGAAGTTTGCAAGTCATATAAGATTATATAAGATTAATGTCCAAGACCAATTGTCCTATCACGCATTCATGCTTCTTGGACTGCTAAGGGAAGATACAGAGAAACACAAGCTAACCTGAACCCTTCGTTGCCTGAGGGAGTGCATCAGTCTCTCAGGAAGAGGAAGGTACATCATGTCCTAGGAGCCCTGGACTCTGACCTGAAAAACCTGTGACACACGCTTCTCAAGACAGCTAGACCAAGCCAATTCCATGGTTCTCTGCAATTTCTTTTCCCTTTCCTATTTTCTTTGCGTTATATTTATTAGCATTTGACATTTTATATATGAACTAATTTGATTATTATTATCTTCTCTCCCAACATCATTAGAAAGTGAGCTTTATGAGAAAAAGACTCAGTGCTGAAGAATGAATGCTTCTGAGCTTTTTTCCTTCCCATATAATCATTTACCAGAGACAGGAGAAGTTATCATGCTCCCTTAGTGAAAAGTTGCACGGGAAACCTGTTTATTCTTTAACATGAAGCTTTGTGAGCAAGGTAAACCTGTTTACCTTTTCTTAACGAGAGACCTAGTAGCTCTAACTAACTAAAGAATTGACTAATGAACTAACAAGGTGGCTGTAGCCTTGAGGGAAGGAGCTGTCTGTTGTTGCCCAACTGACAAAGCTCAGTTAGCCTTGCTGTCAGTGTCATCAGAGACTTGAAAAGGATTAACCAAAAGGACAGAGACTAGTCCGTGGTCCATACCTAGGCAGATATCCCAGGATCCTGTGGTCTCCATGGCGATGAGAATCGAGGTAATAGTACAGCAGTCTTGGCTGCCAGGCCTAGAAGATGAGAGGCCTTCTGTGGAGGAGAAGGAACATGGGGAACTGACGTCATCTTGTCTAGGCAAAGCGTGGCATCAACTCTCCGGTGTCCTACTTGTCCACAGCTCAGGCTGAACCCTGGACAAGCAGACAAAGCATTGGGGCAGTCTTGCCCAGTAGTTAGCATTACCATAGTCCAGGTAGAGTGGTTCATCACTGTGTCTGTTGTCTTCTTAGAGAACTTGGGGGGGGGGTCACTGCTACAATCTAGGAGTCTCCATCTATCATATAAGTTTAAATATCTTAAATGCCATTTCAGCAAATCTCTGACAGTTTGAGGGCCCGAGCCAAAGAACTCTGGTTTGTTTTCAGTTGCTTGTTTTAGGCTATACCTCGAAAACACATAAGGAACTAGATACAGTTTTCCTGTGCTTAACTGTAAGTACTTGCACGATGCCCGGTGTATTTCTGAACACTAGAGGCTTAATCAGCTTTAACAGTTTATAATAAAAATAATAATTTCTGAATTGAAGCTTTTTCAGTATCAAGGTAAGATTTCTAACTTGCCAGGCGATGGTGGTGCACACCTTTAATCCCAGCACTCAGGGAGGCAGAGGCAGGCGGATCTCTGTGAGTTCCAGGACAGCCAGAGATACACAGAGAAACCCTTTTTCGAAAAACCAAACCAAAACAAAACAAAACAAAAAACTGAGAAAGAGAAGTCAGAAGTAGTGGTTAGAAAACAAAGCAGAGCCGGGCAATGGTGGCGCACGCCTTTAATCCCAGCACTCGGGAGGCAGAGGCAGGCAGATCTTTGTGAGTTCGAGACCAGCCTGGTCTACAGAGCTAGTTCCAGGACAGGCTCCAAAGCCACGGAGAAACCCTGTCTCGAAAAAAAAAAAAAAGCAGACAGATATCCAGACAACTGAGACAACAATAAAACAGGCAAACCAGACGAGACAATGGGCAAAACAGACAAATAAGATGGGCAAGACTGCAGCCTATAAAGATACCATCCCCTGTTTTGTGACCTGGGACTCCCAGGTCCCAGTCTGGGAACCCCCTGGATCCTGCCCCTCTTGGGACACCAATCTCACCTCATGTAACCGGAGACACCTGGGTTCACCAAGCGGGAAACCCTGTGTAAGAGAGAGACGTCCTTCCTCTTCCCGGGACTCAGGGAGTACTGTCGTGTCCGGCCTCCTTATTGAATGCAATCCCTTGGCACCAAAACTTTACTGGCCTCTGGAGGATTCGCCAACTCCCGATATGGGGCCTCTGGATCCCGGTTCTCAATGGAGCATCTTGGGGGAACCTCCGAATGTTACACCCAGTCCATTGTGCACCACAGGGAAGGAGAAAGAGAATCCTATGGATTTCAAGGATTTCAATAAATACCCTTTAAGTGGGGGGTCTCTGCTTGATGAGGGGTGCAGAGCAAGGACTCAGGAGCCTTACTTTTCCTGGCAGCCCCAAACAGGGGCGGAAACAGGCTTTATAAGCACAAAAATCACCAAGATTTGTTGCCAAGCTACAGTTACAATTTTCACCAATCAGAAGTCAAAGATTAGGGACTTTCCTTGTGTACCATCATTGTCAACTGACACAAAATGGGAGCTTTTCAGTCCAACCAATCAGATCCATTTGTTCTTTCTGTTGTTAGGAACAGCCATAGTGTTTTAGAGAACTAAGGGGCATGGCAGACTATTTCTATTGTCTAAGGAGGAAGCTGGGCAGCCATTGGAAAGTTCTCCCCTAGGACTTGGGAACCCGAATTTTATTTCACTGTACAGGTAAATTGAAGTCTAAAGTCAAAAAATTGGCAGTGCTTAGGCCAAGGCGCTTTTGCCTGTGCTCCACTACCTGCTGCCCCACCTATACAAGCAGGAAATGTACTGACGTGTGTGCATAACCTTGTGTTCTGTGACCTTAAAGTTAACATCACCCCTCCTTCAGAGAAACAGGGCCCTCAAAGGAATGAAGCTGTGCCCCAGGTCAAACTCATGTTTGTTTGTTTCTTTCAAAACAGGGTTATTCTTTTGTTTGTTTGCTTATTTTTTCAAGACAGGTTTTCTTTGTAGTTTTGAAGCCTGTCCGGAACTCTCTCTGTAGACCAGGCTGGCCTAGACCTCACAGAGATTCACCTGCCTCTGCCTCCGGAGTGCTGGGATTAAAAGCGTGTGCCACCGTTTCCTGGCAGGATTATTCTTTTACAGCAATATTATTTATATTTCATTCACTTTTCCATGTATTCTCATGTGTTTCATAAAAATCACCTGGCAGAGTAGTTGACCTTGCCACATCGTATTTTTTTCAACATGATAACTGAACTTTACATGAAACTTTCAAAGGTAATTTGCAAGGTCACTTGGCTGGAAGCGGTGATCCTCCTCCTTCTCTTCTTAGATTTGAATTTACCTTTGTTTTATGTGTAGAAATGTGTGCATGCATGTGTGTATGTGCATCGCATGTGTGTCTAGTGCTGGAGAGGGCCAGAAGAGGGCACTGAATCCCTTGAAATTGAAGTCATGGGCCATCGTGAGCGTTGGTAACCCAGGTCCTCTGCACGAGTGGGAAAGACCGAGCTGTCTCACTAGCCCCTC